AAAAAAAAAAAAATCAAAGTATTTTAAGTTTACATCTTTTAAGATTAATATTTCACTTACCACCAGATACCACCACTTTGGCACCTGTTAGCTCTGGTCGATCACTTTTTGTTAATTTCTGGTCAAGCCACTCTGATATTTCCACTGGTGAAGTACTTGATGCTGCATACATTAACACATATAATAAAACAACAACTATGATTTCAAGTTCTATAACAATAATTATTTTCAAGAGAAACACACAAGTATATAATTCCATGAAATTTAATTAATGTGAATTTTTGGTGCTCCTAATTCTCTCCGATAATGGAAAGACTTAAGGAGACTAAATTCCAGCCTTTGCCACATAGTTGTATGACTTGAGAAATCATTTAATTCTCTGAGTCTGAATATGGAATAATTTTCTTTCTATGAGGTCCAAATGAGACACTATATATGTTAAAGTGTAACACCCTCCACATGTTTACTGTTACATTCTTCTGTTATATTGAATCACCCAAATATAATAGGAAACAGCGACAAGAGTAAAAAAGCTTAATCTTAATAGATCCTGTCTCCCACTCCCTTGATCTACCAAAGCAACTATCCTAGTACCAAAGATAATGTGAAAAAAGATGCAAGTTATATATATTTATTATTTTTATATAAGCTTGGGAATATCATTTAAATTGAACTTTCAAATACTATGCATTAGAAATGTAAGCAGAGGTAATCTCTCATTATAATACAGTCTATGAATTAAAAAAATAAGAAAAACCAAAAAACTCCAAATGAACACTCACCCTTTTCTGAACTGGCAGTACCGCCACTTGTTGCTGCAGCTTCAAAAGATGTTCCACGGACAGAAAACACTTTCACTTTCTCATCACACTTCACTGTACATAGAGCATTTCCTGAAACATACAATCTATTTTTTAAAAGCAACAACAAAAGGCAACAAAACGAGCATTCCTTTGATGCTTGGAATTTACTTCATAGACAAGGCAAGAAATAACTCTTGACCAGTTGTCTTCTAACTCTATTAAGTGTAGGAAAAAGTGGAGCATAACAGTGAAGAAACATATCAGTAGACATTTGTATAACCCTGGATGTCTTTAAAAGCAGGACAGGTACTACCATGCCTAGAAGGAAGAAACTGGAACAGGCATCCACACTAAGAAGGTACGCTACACCCCTAAAAGGAATATGAACAAAGCTTCCTTCTCCAAAAACAATACAATCAGTAACTCAAAACTATGAGCTGCAACAACTTAATAAGAATGTAGCTACTATGCATGCTGAAGGAGGAATATCTTGAAAACACAACAGGTCATAAAGAACAGGTATGGATGTGCCAAGATTTTAAGAGGATTTGAGACACTCTGGATTAGCTATCACATTAACAGTAACCCAAACCATGACAAAATGTTTTCCCACAAACATTATGGAAGATGAAAAGTCTAATCTGAGAATTAGCCATTTATAGTGAAATACACAACTTTAATCAGAAAAAAACCGAAGAGTTCACTGCCTTCTCCAACCCCACTAGAGACCAGTTTGCTAAGCAAAAGATCAATCGACTGAAGAGACACTGAAATGAATTTATTTTCTTTTTTTCTTGAGACAGGGTCTTGCTCTGTTGCCCAGGCTGGAGTGCTGTGGCATGATCACAACTCACTATAGCCCTGACCTTCTGGCTCAAGCAATCCTCCCACCTCAGCCTCCCAAGTATCTATGACTACAGGCACATGCCACCATGCCTAGCTAATTATTTATTTATTTATTTATTTATTTATTTATTTATTTATTTTTTGAGATGGGGTCTTATTATGTTGCCCAGGATAGCCTCGAACTCCTGAGTTCAAGTAATCCTCCCACCTCAGCCTGCCAAAGTGCTGGGATTATAGGCACGAGCCACTGCAGCTGGCTAAAATGAATTTCTTAATGCTGATGGAAATGAAGTAGAAGAAGCAAAGATTGAGAATACTATTTTTTTTAAGTTTTGCTTTTCCAGGTACCACTCACAAAATATATTAAATAGTGAATCTAATTTTTATTAACCACTAGGAAAATACCACTCTACAAACTCAATAAACAGGCAGGAAATCGCTGTGCTTGAGATCCATCAAAGAGAATGACATGTCAAGGGCCACCAGCAATTCTAGACTAAAATTTTCCTCAGAAACCTTTAAGATGGTCCACTTAAAGCAATTGTATGGCTTGATTTAAAATTTACCTTCAAGATTAATTTATGCTTTTCACTAAAATTTAACATGTCGATTAATTATCTTCCTTGAGTACTCACCTGCATAAATAGTTCTCACAAATGTGTCAGGTGACTTGATTGCAATGATGTCAGAAATTGGGGCAACCTCAAGTTTGGCTGCTACTCTGGGCAAAAGGTTCTAAAAGCAAAATAAGCAGTGAGTTACACACATACACAGTGATGGATGACTATATATGATCAGTAATGACATATTCTAAATGCATATTCTGTAGAAATTTTAATTCAAATATTTTATATTTCATGTGCACCTTTGGATATACAACTTCAAGCACAGCTTTTTAAATAGGCTTTGAGATTGAGTACCTACCATTACTCTAACTACATTAAGAGTCATATGAGTTTCACAGTATTAAGCCACCTTAATGCAACATATTGAATTATGACATATGAAATTTACTATAATAAACATCAATTACCAAGTGTGACAGTTGTGGACTATTGAATTTAGATAAGAAAAGATAGAACAAATTTAGAAGGGTGGTAAAATTCTCAAATACTGAAAAAGATTATGCTCGTACATATTAACTTAACGTATATAAAAACATTCAAAGCAGACATTTTACCTTTTGTTTAAATTGATATTGCACAAAAAAAGAATAAGGCCAGGTACAGTGGCTGATGCCTGTAACCCCAGCACTTTGGGAGGCTGAGTTTGAGACCAGGAGGCCAGGAGTTTGAGACCAATGTGGCCAACATGGTGAAACACCATCTCTACTAAAAATACAAAAAATTAGCTGGGGATGGTGGTGTATGCCTGTAGTCCCAGCCACTCAGGAGACTGAGGCATGAGAATGAGAATTGCTTGAACCTGGGAGACGGAGGTTGCAGTGAGCTGATACCGTACCACTGCACTCCAGCCTGGGTGACAGAGCGAGACTCTGCCTCAAAAGAAAAAAAAAAAAAAGAAAAATAACACTAACCTGAAGAACAGTCTGTATAGTACGTATTTAAAAAGCAACAAAAATAAATTAAAGGTGTGTTCTTGTGCTTGTACTGAAATAGATGCATGTGCTAACTTTGTCCTTAGTAGCAGGAACCCAAGTCACAGTTCCCCAAGTCCCAGTTACTTCTTCTTTTTTTTTTTTTTTTGGAAACAGGGTCTCATTTTGTCACCCAGGCTGAAGTTGCAGTGGTGTGATCATAGCTCACTATAACCTTGAACTCCTGGGCTCAAGAGATTATTCTGCCTCGGCCTCCTGAGTAGCTGGGACTACAGGCACGTGCTACCGCACCCAGCTCATTTTCTTTTATTTATGTTTTGTTTTTTCCTGTAGAGACGGGGTCTTGCTTTGTTGTCCAGGCTGGTCTCGAATTCCTGGCCTCAACCTATCCTCCTGCCTTGGCCTCCCAAAGTGCTGGGATTACAGGCATGAGCCATCATGCCCATCCTGAAGCACTTACTTAATCTAGTTTAAAAACCAGATTTGTCAGTATTTAAAGTTAGCTTCAGTAAGTAACCCTCCTCCTGAACCATCTTCTTTAACTGTTCAGGAATTATTACTGGAATAGTTACTTGGCTGAACAGATTATCTTACAATTTTTATGTTATGCAGACTTTGCCTCTTTTTAAAGTTTTAGAAATTTCTAAATTGCTCAAAATTTAATGTCTTTTGTATTTTCATTATCCCTTGTCTTAACATATCTTCAAGAAATTTTACCATGGTACTTAAAAAGTATGTTTTCCTGAATCTGGTCTTCCATCTAAATGTCCTGAGGGTGGTTGGTACACAAATATCTATCCTATTAAAAATATATCCCATCCAACAGGCTGCCTGCATGGTTTCTGGGAAGCAGAAGCAATAATTGAGTTCTTTTTGTGCATACAAAATGACATTTTAAAATTCTAGTAGACAAGTATAAAAGTGTGTTATCTCAAAACCACAGCTGGTGAAGGACTATCATACAGCAAATTGTTTGGCTTCTTCTGATAGACATTTCTCATTCAAAACCCATTTACAGGCCGCACGACCAGCTACTATTATATGACCCTTATTCTCAAAACTCCCATCTGTCACAACATAGCAATCATGGCCAGAGTACTAAAATCTAGCTAATGACAAACACCCTTTCATGGTCTAACAATCTGTTAGGTGAACTGTCATCATAGAAAGAAACTCAAAGCTCATGAAATTATTTAAACTATCCAATATACAATCACAACTCTCAGAGACAGAATGGTCCACAAAGATTTTCTCACCCATCAGACTGGGGGAAAAATGTTAAAATGTATACTACCAAGTGTTGGTAATTAAGCAATAGGTATCAAATTTTTTAAACCACATAGCATTTGACTCAGTGATTTCACTTCTAGAACTCTAATGTAAATAAATTCCAGCCGATGTGTACACAGATACACGCATGAGCATGTTTTCTTGCAGCAAAGTATATAAATGTAAAAAACTGGAAACAAGTTAACTGTCCTTAGCTAAATATGGAATCTTATGCAGCCATAAAAAAGAGAGAAACATTATGAGCCAAAGTCATACTCTTTTTTTTTTTTTTTCTTGAGATGGTGTTGCTCTGTCACCCTGGAGCACAGGCTAGAGTGCAGCAGTGTGATCTCAGCTTATTGCAGCCTCAACCTTCTGGGCTCAAGCAATCCTCCCACCTCAGCCTCCCAAGCAGCTGGGACTACAGGCGTGCACCACCATACTCAGCTAATATTTATTTCTTTTTCTTTTTTCTTTTTTTTTTTTTTTTTTGTAGAGATGAGGTCTCACTGTATTGCCCAGGTTGGTCTAGAACTCCTGGGCTCAGACGATCCTCCCAAAGTGCTGGGATTACAGGCGTCGGCCACCGCACCCTGCCCAAGTCATACTCTTAAGTAAAAGCTACTAGTCACAAAACAATTCATGCCATACTATTCCATTTTAGAAGTAAAAAATATATAGCTGTACATGTACTGTAATTTAAAAATCCACAGAAGGAGGCCTAAAAGAATGTACAATTGTTAACAGCTATACTCCTAAAGAGGAGAGGGTGAGTTGGGAATAAGAAAGCAGGACTTTGACACCTTGCTCTGCACACTGCTGTACTACATGCATTCTTCCTAATAAGGATGTATTCGTGTATAACTTATTTCACAATTTTTAAAAGTAAAAATAGGCTAAGCACAGGGGCTCATGTCTATAATCCTAGCACTTTGGGAGGCTGAAATGAGAGGATGACTTGAGGCCAGGAATTTAACACCAGCCCGAACAACATAGGGAGACTACATTTATACAAAAAATTTAAAAATTAGCTGGGCATGGTGGCATGTACCTGTAGTCCTAGCCACTCAGAAGGCTAGGATAGGGGGATCGTTTGAGCCCACAAGCTGGAGGGTATGTTGAGCTACAATCGTGCCACTGCACTCCAGTCTGGGCAACAGAGCGAGGCTGAGGCAGGCAGATCACGTGAGGTCAGGAGTTTAAGACCAGCCTGTTCAACACGGCGAAACCCCGTCTCTACTAAACATACAAAAATTCGCCAAGTATGGTGGCACACACCCATAATCCCAGCTACACAGGAGGCTGAGGCAGGAGAATGGCTTGAATCCAGGAGGTGGAGGTTGCAGTGAGCTGAGATCATGCTGCTGCACTCCAGCCTGGGTGACAAAAGTAAGACACCATCTCAAAAAAAAAAAAAAGTAAAAATAAAGACTAAAAATGACACCTTATTAAGAATGGAATAAAAGAAAAGAGAGCTAAGATAACACTCACGGCCACAGAGAGCAAGAAAAATCCACGACACATTCCTTGTCTTAGGCTCCCATTACACTCTTCCACTCCATTTTTAACTTTATGTAGACCGCTACCCATCTGGTAACACACTCATTCTTCAGACACATCACAATGCACATGATCAGATTACGGCTTTCTTTACCTTAAGGATGTCTTCAACCACTACACAGCCCTTTCCAAATTCCCCATGTAGATAAAATTTGGCTTTTCTAGATATCCATCAGCCACCCAAATAAACCATCTCTTAAAATGGGCTACTAATACAAATGACTCCTGTTCGTTTGCTCGCTCGCTCTCTCTCACATGCAAGCAGAATTCATCATTACTTTTAAACGCAGAAAATTTTAAAATAATAGCCTAATTAGAGTTTTCTCCACAACTTAATTTGAAAACCTGGAAATGGTAGTTTTTTAACAGAAAATTATGACAAAATCTTGAAAGAATACATTTTAGCAAAACTACCACATCAATTCAGATAAATCCAGATTGGCTATATAAACAGTCTGTTGCACACTTTCAGCACAATGAAATCTAACCCCTTCAAGCAGTGATATCAGATTCCACATTCTCAACCTTCTCACCTTTCCAAAGGCAGATGCTCCAGCACAGATGTGTGTGTAATTGAACTGCTTCTGAGTTGCCAAAATCAATGGTGTCAGTTCCTCTGAGAATTAAACACATTTGATAAAAAATCTTTTGGAATACTTTCATAATCATATATTCAAGCATAATTTACACATGACATATTTTTCCACTGGAAAACCTCACCTGCAAGTAGGCCTCTGTACGCATCATGCTGAGCCACCAGAACTTTTGCTATGCCTGCTACTTTACAGAGATCTTGTGCCACCTGTGATTAAAAGATAAGTTCCTAATTATCCATCTATCAGAAATATACAAATAAAGGCACCACTATAAATATCAACAGATCATAAAATCTTAATGGCCAACTGTAAAAATTACTCTTATTAGCAAAAGGGCCAGTTAAGAATTAAAATATATTCTGGCCGGGCACAGTGGCTCAAGCCTGTAAACCCAGCACTTTGAGAGGCTGAGGCAGGCGGATCACTGGAGTCAGGAGTTCGAGACCAGCCTGGCCAACATGGTGAAACCTCATCTCTACTAAAAATACAAAAATTAGCTAGGCATAGTGGTGGGTGCCTGTAATCCCAGCTACTTGGGAGACTGAGGCAAGCGAATCACTTGAACCCAGGAGGCGGAGGTTACAGTGAGCCAAGATCACACCACTTTACTCCAGACTGGGCAAAAGAGTGAAACTCCGTCTCAAACAAACAAAAAAAGGATTAAAATATTAAAATACATTCCTTAACAAAGAAAATCTAATGCCAATAGATCTTACTACTGACTGACCTCACACTGTCCAACTACCAAGCATTTCAACAAATATTCCTGCCTTGAAAAAGAAAAGTGCTAATTGATAAACCAAAATCAACATGGCTCTTTATTCAAATTCAGTTATAAACTGTGCTTTTTACTTTTGGTTCAATCCAAGTGTTAAGTTCAATATCCTGGAAATGGTGAAAATGAAGTTCTCTTAGTAACATCCCATTGTCAACCACTGAGTTCCTGCCCACATACACACATTTATCTATGACAAAGCAAAATATTTCCTATTTTAATTCTTCATTTTTCCTGTTTAGAATCAGAATGGGGTTCTGAGAAAGCTTTGTGATCATTCAGATTTTCTATATTCAGAAGGCAATTAGATTTCCCCTTTTTAAGTATGTTTATTACATCATGGCTGGTTTCCACTTTAGCTAAGTCATATCAGTCATACTATCGTCTTCTGTCTCCTTGTTTACCTCCAAACTGATTCATTGATTCACTGATGAGTAGGATTGAACGGCTGTGCCTTCTGCTACCCTTGTATGAACTGTTAGCTTGCAACAATATTCACTGAAGAAAGGACGCACTGCAAAAATACCTCTCCTAAACCAAGTGTTCACCGGCATACCATTTTGTACTACAGAGGCCCTCTATTATGGATGCAGCAGAATTTAGCTTCTCAAACTTTAAGAGAATTCCCAATTAAGAAACTCAGTTAATTGCAATGTAGCTGCATAGCAGCATGGGATAGAAAATGGGGCAGAATTTTCCCATTGAAACGCTCTTGTTTTTACTGGCAAAAACTGCTGGCATTATACAGAAGAATAACTTGCTGTTTATGACAAATAGCTGAATAAAATGCTATAAAGCTGAACTCTATTAATGATCTCTTCATATAGGTATTAGTTGTTTTCTTTAAAATTAGAACATGACAGGTTAGGATTGTAACTGAGTACAGAAGATGATTTCTATTTGATTCTTCTCAAAGTAGTATAAAGCATCAAAGTATTTTTAAAGTAACATTACAATAATTATTTTAAATCACAGCAAAACAAACAACAAATCACAAATTCCTACATATCCAAAAACAGGGAAACCAAAAAGATGGCTTAGCCATCATATACTGTGGCTAATACATACGTACAAATAGATAGCTTAGCGATCACACATCACACATTGTGGCTGTATCAACTATGTAAGATTCTATAGTTGTTAGCAGGAATTGGGTAAAGAAACCCACATAACTAAACATAAACCCACCATAATATGTTCTTTTAAGGTATCAATTTCACGTAAAAAATCAGAAGCAACATCAGCAGTATGAATCTGCATTCTCACATGCTCTGAATTATTGTTATTTTTAATATATTTTTTGAGACAGTCTCACTTTGTTACCCAGGCTGGAGTGCAGTGGTACAATCTCTGCTTATTGCAACCTCTGCCACCCAGCTTCAAGTGGTTCTCGTGCCTCAGCCTTCCAAGTAGCTGGGACTACAGGCACGCACCACCACACCGGCTAATTTTTATATTTTTAGTAGAGACACGGTTTCACCATGTTGCCCAGGCTGGTCTCAAACACCTGACCTCAAGTGATCCACCCACCTCAGCCTCCCAAAGTCCTGAGATCACAGGCATAAGCCACCATGCCCGGCCACCATCACTTATTTAATAAAACATAAAATCCTCAAAACATACTCCCTTCAGATTTATTCCTCTGTGAAGTTTAAGCCCCAACTACACACTCAGCAACTCCTATACCATGTGAGAGGGAACTGGTGGCTCAAGCTATGTAAGCTTAATTGAAGCACTCATCTACATTGCAGCCTAGTGGCACAGACCCTGCAAATCATATCCTAGCACCTTTCTAGAGGGTTAGTGCCCCAAGCTGTTATCATCTGATTTCAACAACAGCAACAACAACAACAGCAAAAAACAAGAACATCTTTTAGTACCAGCTAGAGTTTGGAAAGAATAGTACTTAACATTCAAATTCTTCTACCAATTAAAACATCCATATTACATTGTCCAGATTTACCACTTTCAGGAATTAGAAGCAATTAGCAAGTATATTCATCAACACAAAAAAGAGATCAGTTATTAACCTCTAAGGGGACTCAAATATTATCATTCTACTTGGTACCTGATGGCACATGATGGTGCCAGTGGAACTAAATCAAGTATTCTACCTCATTTCAAAAGATAAAATACTTAGTGAGGAAACCTTTTAGTTCCTTTTTCACACATGGTAATGGTTGTGACACTGGCCATTTAATGAGGATTAGAGCCCAGTTTGGGTTACAGTCCTCAACATAATTCTCTGTTGCCATCTTTTCCTGTCTCTTGATGGAGATTATATTTGCTATGGCTGACCTTAAAAATTTCTCACCTTGTCACATTTGGTTCCAGCTACTAAGCAGGACACTTCACCTCCAAGGCGTGTGGCTGCAGTAATAGTATTTAAAGTAATAGGTGCTAGGGAATCATTTGCATGCTCAGCTATTACCAGGGTACTCTGAAATCGTAGCAATGAGGCCTAAAAAGAGAAAAAAGGAAAAAAAAAAAAGGTAAAGAATGTTATCACAGGCTTTTTTTTTTACTCTAATTGTTAAGGATGTAAGCTTTAAAGAAAACTATTCCGTACACAATACTGTTCTATAAATTTATTTATAAAATACTTGTTCAATATTGAAAATCTAGCTATTTGTGTCTACCACTGTACTACTAATATTCTTTTTTTCTTTTTTTTTTTTTTTTTTTTCGGAGTCTTGCTCTGTCGCCCAGGCTGGAGTGCAGTGGCACGATCATGGCTCACCACTGCAAGCTCCGCCTCCCAGGTTCATGTCATTTTCCTGCTTCAGCCTCCCAAGTAGCTGGGACTACAGGCGCCCACCAACACATCAGCTAATTTTGTTTTTGTACTTTCATGAGAGATGGGGTTTCACTGTGTTAGCCAGGATGGTCTCCATCTCCTGACCTCGTGATCCGCCTGCCTCAGCCTCCCAAAGTGCTGGAATTACAGGCTTGAGCCACCGCACGCAGCCTACTAATATTCTTATCTAATAAAAATAAGAACGCAAATTAGCCTTCTATTGTTAGGAAAAGTGTTTAATTACTTCAAAACAACTTTCCCACTAATCTACATCTGATAAGAAACTACTATATAACTAAATGTAAATTTCTTAGACAGAACATATTAACTACCTAACTAGGAACTGGTCAAATTCTACTACCAATTACATTTGGTTACATACATACTGTACTCCTACAGTACAGGAGTACAGTATAATCAGAAATAATGGGTGTGAAATTAGTCACAAAAGTTGATCCCTATTGCTTCAGTCAAAATGCTTTCAGTACCAAAATAATTGATAATGGAAATGTGTTTTTAAAATATGACACTAAACAGAAATTTTGCCAGGTTTTGACTGTTCAAATATGCTTCTGGATTCAAAAAAGGAAGCTTGCAGACAGTATACTGGAACCAACCAACATCCAGCCCTATCTAATGCAGACGATCAAGAAACCACCAATCACTCATGGTCATGTGGAATAATTTCAAACACAAGGAACACAGAGATGAACAAGAATGGTCCCTGTGCTCAAATAGTTCACAGGAAATTAGACTTGTTCACATACAATTATAAAATAGAACAGTTTTTCAAATAATGAAGAGATCCAAAATGTTGAAGGCTACAGATCATGAAGCAGAGTCAAGAGGGGAAGAAAGGAAGGAAGTTCAGGTGTTCCTATCATGTGAAAAGATGAGGAATGGCATCATAGGCATGAGGAAAAAATAAAATACTGGAACTATTCTTGTGGAAAATGGCAAAGAAAAGTGAGAAAAAGAGGAACTGTGGATCAAATGGCATGGTTGTGTGGCTTAATTCAGCAATAACCTTAAGCTCTGGAGTTGGAGTGAAGAAAGCATAGCATGAAATTTACCCAGAGTTGGAAACTTAAAAGGAGGGTATGAACTGAAGGAAAGTCAGGACAATTCCTGGAATGAAATGAAAGTTCTTAGAAAGCAAATACCGGCCGGTGCGGTGGCTCAAGCCTGTAATCCCAGCACTTTGGGAGGCTGAGACGGCCAGATCACGAGGTCAGGAGATCAAGACCATCCTGGCTAACACGGTGAAATCACGTCTCTACTAAAAAATACAAAAAACGGCCGGGCGCGGTGGCTCAAGCCTGTAATCCCAGCACTTTGGGAGGCCGAGACGGGCGGATCACGAGGTCAGGAGATC